TATATATATATATATTTATATATCTGAAGAAAGGGCAAGAAATAAAAATGGGTGTAAAGAAAGTGACTTCGTATTTATTGGTGCTGCATTAGGAAAAGAAATGTTCACTTTTTGGCTACATTCCTTTGCTCTAGCTTGTGTTATGAGAACCCTCACTGCTCCTGTACATTGTTGAGGCCTTATATGCATGTAGACGTACCGTGCTAGGGCACGACTGTCAAATCTGTTCGGATCTTTGTCTTCTTTCCAGCGACCTACTTCGAAGCTTCCCTTGATAAAGCTCAGCATCAATGTGATGACTTGCACTGAAGTGTCGGTTGTAGCCATATCCTGGTATGAGAAGCCCGAAGTTGCCACAATAATTATGTTTCTGTATCCTGATTGGTGCTTCTGTTCATCGAAGGCTCTTTCGTTTAGATACACCACGGCATTCCCAGCAAGCGCCCCCGCCCAAGAAAGCTCCTCCCCCATTGTCACTGGTAATTTTTACTTCCCACGATTTTCTAGGAAAACCACCACGTCTTGCTCTTCCTTCCTTGTTATGTAACGCGTTTACGCATCACGTTAGTGCAACACTTGCCTGATTGAATTTTATTCAATCCTACTTACCATCGTGATTTCTAATGCCTGCACCAGATGATTGTTTCAAAAATCAGTTGTGTTCTGCTTAGTGATTGCATTGTAAAAATAGCGCACTGCACGCTTGGTGGTTCTCAAGTATCTGCGTCAAATAATTGTCATCGACACTTTGTATGAGGTTGTACACAAGAAGCCTGAGCAGCTAAACGTCAGTGTTTTGAGATCTCTTGTTGTTTACACCAGTTGTGTCAGCTCATCACCGATTGTGCTTCCACTAAAACAGTCACAGAATAACCAGAAAACGAATGAACGAATTCGACAGCCGAAATAGTAATAGCATTGGAATAATGAAAGCAGCTAGAAAGTTTCTGCATGCTCCTCAAGAACAAATGATGCCCAAGGTTGAACAAGGAAGGATGAACAAGTAAAGATAAGTAAATAAAGGGCGAGCATGAACTGTCGCATTTGTTACTTCTACAAGCCCCTAGCATGTCTATTCTAGTTAGCCATCGACATATTTCTCCAACGGGGCCGTGGCAGCTGAGTGAGCTTTGTGTTGTCGACAGCTTGATTACAGATTTTGCGATGAGACACAAAGCGTGCGAAGCACCCCTCAAGGGATGAACTTGCGAGCATGGCCGACCATGCTTAGTATGTCGAAGTCGGTGGCACAGATTCGAACCTAGGTGAGAGACTTGGAAGCATAAGAAAGGGCGCGAAAAAAAAAACTGGCTTAGGCACGTGATTTATAAAGGTATTTGTTTGGGCGAGTTGGAAGCTATTTGTTGTTACGTTCTTGCACAGTGCTTAACAGATGCACACTTTAGATAAGGGACGTGACATACACAAGGGAGACTTTCAACGGAGTTTCGACTGAGTAAAACCACAGCGTCCATTGTCTATAGGTGCCGACTCTTGTCCCTGAAATAAAACTTCATTTCGACTGTGTTCGGTGGGGACGCTTTCCTTAGGCTGCCTTTTGTGAGAGCTACAAGACTTTTTAGGAACACCGCATAAAATAAGCAGTTAGTTTGTGGGCGAGAACAATCTAGTAACGGGGTTGAATTTGTTCCTGTCTCCAGAAAGCACCCCTCTGCTCCACTTGGCAGGCCACTTTGAGTTCCTCAAAAAATGGGTGAAGCACTTGTTCCGCATTTGACGGTAAGCCTTTAGAGATCTGTTTCCTTCAACGCTCATGCTTACAGTAGAAAAATTTTGTCGGAGCATTTTCAACACACAAAGAGGCATCTACTTAAGGCGAAAAATATATATTTGCAGAACGTATTTTGGCCCTTTTTTCTAACTGCAGCATTCAAAGATGCAGTTTCAAGTCGAAATAATGATGGTAAACTATATTGTGGCCTGTTTTATAGGCTAGGCTAACTAAGTTGTTTCACAAACATGCAGATGTAGATAAGCTTTCCATTTTTCTCACCCGAATAGCCCACTTGTCCACAAACGTTTCCGATCTCAGTACCCTATTATCTAGGGTAATATAAGAACAGAACATATATATACTTTTTTGTTGTATGGAAACTATAGACTTAACAAATTAGAAATGTTTTGGGGTACTAATATTTTTTTACCGTACCCGGTGTATTCCAAGTAACTGAAAAGTATTTGGTTACGAATAGAACGAAATATGCCGGTCTAGGTAACAAAGTTCTGCCTCATTCTTTTGTACCATCTCTGTTACCTTTTATTCATTGTTAAAGTGCCTTAAGGAAAATAATTCACGGAATTGAGTAATATGAGCCCAAACTCAAGAATATGCGCACTTCTATCTGCCAAATTCGCGCATACGTGCATGCACTGCAGGTACAACAATGACGTAGACAATACAGATTAGCACGTAAGCCTTCAAAATCAACTCTGCTTGCATATAACACTGTAAAGTGAGAACATTGTTGTTTGATGTAGTGTATTGTTGAGTGTATTCTCAAATTGCTAATAATAGCAAAGCTAAACACTGGTTTCCAGGGGTATGAGGCAAGGGTTGGTATTCAACCAGACTTGAGGTATGTTCCTGATTCAAGTTCCGAGTTGCTGCACTAATTATTCGAAGTTTTCTGGACAAAATCTTAACATCACTCGTTTTAGCTCCCTCGGTTTAGCGCTGTGTTAGGAAACGTGCTACATATCATTCAATGTAGATCGGCTATTTCGAGCAGCTGCGTAGTTAGACAATACGTTGTGCGTGTATTTTTGGTAGACGTGTCTCGTAGGAATGGGAAGTGCAAGAATAGCTAAACTGATTGCTTCCTGATGATCTACATTCATGGCAGCTGTGTCTCGTACTGTGCGCAATTGAGACAAATCTAATGGGTTCCTGTGGCGAAAAAACCCGGCATTGGCAAAGTGATCCCCTGGCCACATTCGAACGCCGTGATCTAAACACTCAGCCCTGCACTAGAACTGAACTGCTGTATCATTTTTGTTTACAGGAAGCACCACAACTGCTCACGTGATCCCATAGGCTTTTCAACATGTGCCTCGCGTCATTGCTCAAACACCGCCAATCTGCTATATTACTATTTCAAAAAAGCCAGCTATAGTACACTTAGCTATATTGTTCACTACCTGCAACTATCGGCTACTACCCTGGTAAGTTCAGGCACCTCTGAAAGACCCGTACTTTGCCCATTTATGTTTGTCACTTGCATTGATGACCTAACAATATATGTCTTCTCTAAGATCTCCATGTTTGAAAATGATTGCAAATTTTTTGTCAACTCTTTTTCTAGAAATTCTAAAGCGTTGAATTTACAAAAGGTAACACCAAGAATGATGCAACATTTGACGAACGTAACTGACCTCTAATGACTGTATCACTCGGCTTTCAGTGCCGTGAAAAAGTGCATTTTTCGTTATACAAAATTTTCGCCGTGGAAGTTTAACTTGTACCTTCTTCCACATATGTCACCCTTTGAAGTGATTTAACCTCGGCAGCGCACATCACTAGCTTGATTTCACTCTCCTCGCTAACAACACGGTTTTGTCATTATGACGTAATTTGTACTATGTCCCCCAAAACGCAAAACTATTGCTTGTCAATTTTTTCATCAGGACGAAATTGAAAATTCAAATCCGCCAATTTTGACCCGCATCAAATATATTCCATGAACTAACTTTACACATGAATCACTTGAAAATCGAGCTGAAAGATTTACTCATATGAAGTAGTTATACAGCATCAGTAGATTGGCATGGAATACGAAATTTTGAAGGTGAATACTAGCATGAACCTGCCATACTGCAATTGTGAGTCTTTTTCACAAGGCTGTTTCAAAGCGCCCTCGAAAAGCCATCATACACCAACTCCCTCCACGTTTTGTCTTCGTCCTTTTTGTCCTGCAGCAAGAAACTGAAATGGTATTTCAAAAGATGCCACAGCCATAGCCTGTTTCTTAAAATTTATCATCACTTATTTGCGCTTAAAGAAATAAGACGTGACTTCAGGTTTTTTTGAATGTGCACTCACCTATTTATTGTCTCTTGAAAATAATCTTTACAAAGTAAGAATGAAATTATGTAACATTGAATCTGGCTCCTAAAACCGTGAGATAAGGCACACAGCTCCACCATCAACGAACAGCATTCCGTTCCCTGTGCGGGACCTTAAAGAGTCATCGCCTATCTGGTCACACGTTCGCTGAAATTTCGGCGCTCATTGCGTTCGTATCGTCAAGACGCTGTCTGTCGCCGCAGCATCCCGCGTTCGCTGGCTCAACTCGAGTCGTGTTTGGATGCCCCTATACTGAAGAATAAAAAGCAGCAACTGATCAAGGTGTGGTAGTTTTCATTGGCTGTTGACGCCACTAATAAGGTAACCATTGGCACAGTATTTCGTGGTGCTGTCAAGACTACCAAGAGATAATTGACTGGAAAAGCAGGGTTTAAAAACAGAACTAAAGTTCTATAAAATATTTTATGATGTCAACAGCTGATACCTATATTTTTCTTTCAATGCATACCGGGAGGTCACTAACTGACATTTGTCGTCAAACCCACACATCGTACGACGTGTCTGTGTTACTCCTGTAATTTCTCATTCCGCTCATCACTGTGTTACTCGTTAATTATGCAAGAGTTTTTCACGTTATTGTTTGTGTCTTTACCCATTTATTATTATGGACAAAGTGCGACGCTTGTACAATATTTCCTTTAGCCACAGCGCTGTGTCGAGGGGAGCACCACTCTTTCATTAGAGGCATTCAACCAATCACTCTGTGATGGAGCGCATGGGTTTATCAACCAATTTGCGTGGTCAAATCGTTTTTTGTTGGTGTGGTGTCACGTGAAAGGCGAAGATTTTGTGGCCGCCACAGCCTCTAATCAACGACGTGCATTGCGGGTCAGCAGTTGAAAGTCTTGACTACTAGACCACTGAGGCGTGCACGTGACCATACTGAGTGAACGAGGACCAGGTTGAATCTTTTACTTTATTACATGTCAAGATAGCCGAATGAAAGTATTATATACGGAAAGAGTTTCGGCTGCTGCTGTGATGCCCTTCACGTTGCCCCCTCTCGCATTAAAATATTTTCGGCTATGGCACTGGTCGGCACCAAAATCTAGTGACCCTCCTTGTCAGTCGAAATCTGCTAATCGGAGGCAGCGCTACTACGGTGATACATTTCTCAACCATCTGTGGAAAGAAGAAAAAAATCAGAGAGCGGTCAAAGCGATTGCGAAACTTCCATCGGTAAGCACAAAAAACAAGGGACAGAGAGTACTGGTGAACTTTTTTGTGCTATAAAACATCAAAAAGGGAAACACCCTGCGCATGCGGCCCAACTAGTCTCTATATAGAATGTTCAAATGCGAGGATAAATATAAACCTCGTAAGGTTTTATGCACTGAAACACGATGGCCCGATAAAATGAACTAGGAGCGCGTCGTAGAGTTCCCGGGCTGGGCAATGAGAGTATCTGCGCAAAATACGTGCCTGCTCAGAATAAGTGTCAGTCATGTTCGTCAAAATAAATTAACAGTTTACTTCCAGTTTTAGACATCTGCTTAATGTTCTGCTCCTTCAGATGTCGTTGCTGCTTCGATAGGAGCGCACTGATTGTGGCATCAATCGTATTTCTAAGAGGCACGCATACTCCACAGACATCGTCATGGGCGTGGCCATAAAACCTATGAAGATTTCAGCATTCATTTTAGTAGGCCATCATGGTGAGTTTACCGTGTAACGTGCTAACCGATAAGGGTAAGGATTTTCGGAATAGTCACGTCGCAATCATTTGGCTTCACTTTTTCTACCTTTTTGTGATTTGCAATTTTAATGATGCATATACATTAGCACGTATCAAAAAACCTCTCAAAATTCAGTAAGCTCCCAGTCTTCGCAGTCGTCCCTCCCTGCCAACAATTACTGTATGGAGCTGACTTTGCATCCCCCTCTTAAGTGGAAGAAAGAAGCGGCTCCGCCCCTTCCTCTTGCCCACCCACACTCTTGAGCGTCGACCTATGCAAGTGCACCAGATGAAACAGATAAGATGAGGCCACAGTTTGAGCTCAACGGTAAAGCAGCAGAAACGCTATGAAAAGGTTTGGTCTCCTTGAAAGGGCAGTTATTTCTTCGCCCATAGAATTTTTTTTTTATCTGACACATATAATATTTACTATAAAATATCATTCCATGTACTTTGTGTGTTTCATCGTCTATTGCGTCTGATTGACGTTAGTGTCCTAAAAGTATTTTTGAGCAATTACACGTTGTTGGGCTGGTCGGTTCGTGTTCATTTAGAAGCGGCAGATGCGGCTATTTTGCGCAAATAAACAAACATTTGCGCTCCCCTTTAACACTTTCCTCGTTATTTCTTTGCAAAAATATCTGCACCTGCGTCTTTTAATTAAACAATAAAAAACCATTTGAAGTCACCCATTTCCATCAGTCATAAAGTTATTTACTTTAAAACCAGGGCAACATTAGGTCACAGTTATTAGGTGCACGCATTGATGCCTAATGAATGGTCAGCAAAACGTAAAACAAAACATTTGTCAACGCACGACGAACAACAGCAGGTAGCCAATTCCTTTTGGCCTACACTTTGGCCTCACTCATAGTAAGCCCATATGGTGGTTTTGTGACGTAAACCCTACATGTTATATTAAAATTGACAGAACGTAACCCTTGCACAAGTTCCGAAAAAGTGCCAAAGGAAATACCTTAATTCGGGTGTAAATAGTTTTTTATACCAGAGGAAGGCCGAGAAAATGTTTTTTATTGTAGATTTCATGTTAAACAATGACAATCAAAATCTTTAGGAATCTGAACATGACTACGTTTATTTAGTGTCGTCTTTGCTTCGGAAAAAGGGGATGTCTGAAATCAATCAACCAGTCTCACTTTTATTAACATAAGTAATTATTACAAATTTGCTAGACCATTAGCCTATATTGGTTGTTCGTCGGTTCCTATGAGAGTACAAAGCAGAATAACAGAACATATATATTTATACGCACGCATATACATATATATATATATATATATATATATATATATTGAACGCGTTATTCGAAGGTCGTAGGTTCGTTTCCTGCTCACAGCTGGTAATTTTTTCATCCACTTTTCTTTCTTCTTTCTTATTATTTACATTCCATTGGTTCTAATAACTTCCCCTGTACATTCCTTGGCATTACTGTCTGTTATATCTCATTAATATTGTGTTAAAACACGGAAATACGAGCCCTTAGGTATACACTTCTCTCCCATATATATATATATATATATATATATATATATATATATATATATATATATGAAAGTAGATGCGCTTTCACATAACAACTGTTTATTGTGCCGACGTGAAGTTTCGACAGGAACCCCGTCTTCTTCAAGGCATAATATTATGCCTTGAAAAAGACGGGGTTCCTGTCGAAACGTCGGCACAAAAAACAGTTGTTATGTGAAAGCGCATCTACTTTCATATTTATAACCTTGCGGCAACCGAAGTTATTCTTCTGCATATATATATATATATATATATATATATACATACATGCATAATCACATGCCTATAGAAACACACTAACAACACAAAGTAATAAGTAATACACATATCTACACAACTAAAAAGAGAAAGCAAATGTAATAATTAATAACACCACATTGTAAACTCGGACAAGTGAAAAAATGCACATTTCTTATGTCAAATAGGAACATACCGTATTTTGGAAGAAAACAATGAATGCGATGTTATACATTGTTTCCCGCTGAACCTAGAGTGACAGAAAGTCATTAAATTAAGCACTGAAGTATGTCTATCAAAGCACTTGGTTCTGGAAATATAAATAGGCTGATGCGGATACCCTTCTACCTATTATAACCATTATCATGACAAATAACACTGGTGTAAATACGCTCATATGTTTATATGTGTAGATCTAAATCCTGCTATCCCAAGTGACCCTCTCCATATGATGACCTGTCACATACCTTTTTCTACTGCCCAACTGCTAACCAATCCAGCCCTTCTCTTTAATCACCACTTGGTTAGAGTGGATCGGCGCCGAAGGGGAAGACTAATGTCGCCTGGTTGCGCAAGTGGTCAAAATACTCAGCTTTTAATATGGGGTTGATATAAAAGTCTATTACTACTACGGCCATATGTAATATGGCAAGTATTCCTTATTCAAAAAACAATCTGTGGCTTCTTTGCCTTTGTAAGGTTATATACTACTTGTAATTGAATAATGCGTGGAACATACTGAACAGTGTAGTTAAAAGGGTAAATCCTGCGTTTAAATTTGTAAAAAAATCACTCCAAATTATTGCTTCAAATAAAGCACATATTATCTTTCCCTTGGATCATGACATTGTCATTTTTGAAAATTTGCCCAAGGGTGAGCATGTTGATACCTAGAACTCACCAGCATGGTGGATTATTATACTGGATGGACTGATGGTGGGCATATGTTGGATGGATAGTCACGGACAGATTGTAGGTGGATAGTATAAATGATGGACAGACCATGGGTCGATGGTGGGCGATGAGAGTGGTGGGCAGGTCATGGTTGGATGGTGGACATTTGATGGGTGGATAATGGACAGACGAAGGGTGGATATGCTAGTTGTTTGCTGGGGGACAGCTGGTAGGTATTGATAAGCTTTGGCTGACTGACCCATGAATTATTTAAAAGAACAGACAGTGAACACCACAGCTTTGCTACAGACTACTTTGTACCACTGATTTTAACATGCTTACTTAGATGTCTGTATACACATGGCCAAGCATGCAGCCACATGATACTGCAGCATGAAACTAATGAATGTCTCTTGCATGAAATATGTGTTCACTTGTTCTCCTTGCATTGATGCTCAACATGTACGCCTTGCTGGCCTTCTTCGTAAAGTTCTTAGGAGCTTGAAGATGGGGCGCTAAGCCTCCTAAAATACAACGCTCGATATGACTTGAATCAGACAGTATGTATGTCAACCTCATCACATTTGTCAGCTCAGTGATCGACATTTACCACCAAATCCCTTTTTGTTTTCTTTTTCAGGTCTTTTCTTCCAGTTCAACCTAAAAAATATTTGCGTTAAAAAGCCACCGATATCACACCCCTTGCCTTTTGCATACGAAAAATTGGGCATAATGCGCGTACCTTGGGATAAGATGTCATGCGAAACATGCGAATTAAAGGTGACATTGGTGTATTTTTTTAGTGAGACTTTACGTACTAATGCTAGCGATATGTACAAACGTTGTACGCATGAACAACAGTTGAACAGGTGGATGTTTTATATAACTGTATTGTTTACTGATGTTCAATGATGACAAAAAACATCGGTGTTAGCTTTACAGAAGGACTGAGGCGCAAATGTAGCAACACAAGAAGAGATATGAACAAGCGCCAACAGCTAATTTTTATTCGAAGGAAGTGGGAATACTCTCACGATTGGAGAGCGTTACTTGCATGATGTTTAAACAGAATAAAACTTGCATGTGATGACGTATATTTAAAAAATATAACGTAGTCATTCGCACGTGGTGCGAGGCCAAAGTAACATGAACATGATACCGGGATATTGAAATAATCAAACTTGCCGTGGGCAGGAACCGATCGGTTCATGCTTATGGAAAGTTATCTTTTCACCCACTTTTCTTTCTTGACATTTACCTTACAATTGGGTCTAATAACTTTCCCTATACTTTCCTTGTCATGGTTTTCTTATTGTCTGTTCTATCTCATCATATATATATATATATATATATATATATATATATATAGAGAGAGAGAGAGAGAGAGAGAGAGAGAGAGGAGATAGAGAAAGAGAGAGAGAGAGCGAAACAAAACTTAGCGGTTGTCTCGAATTTGTTTCCAACGGTTTCGACAGGTTGCTTGGTCTACATTAGGGCACTTGTTCACACACCCTCACGAAAACCAGTCTACCGCTCGAAACCATTGCAACTAAAATTAATACAACGCTAAGTACTGCTTCATCTGTTCTCAAGTATGTTTGGCCCATTATCGAAATTTCAGTATTGAATGCACAAAACATCCTTTTGAACATACTTTCCATCTGGCTTGCGTTACAAGAAAAGTAACGTCTTCAGCAGGCAGATCCCTTCTGGCCATGTAGGCGTATTCCGCTAGAGCGCGGTGCTCATGTGTGTTTGCTGGAATGACTTCAGTCCATCCGCCAGCTTCAATGCTTTCTGTACAAAAGCTCACCAGTAGTGCAATGAACAGCAATGAAGCATCAACTGCAGCCATATCCAGATTTGCTCAACCTGCAGTTGCCAGAAAGATAAATATTAGATTGAGTGGTCTTCAATAACATAACAATTTACAAGGGTGACATTCGCAATACATTGTCCGATTCACATAGTTCAAGAAATTAGTTCTTTTTTACAATTGCAAGGATCATTTTTGGTTATTTGATTTTACTAATGTATTGTATAGAACTGTAATGAAGCCGTGAAAATCAGTAATATTTAAAGTGCCAGTGCTCTGTTTATTCGCAACATATACAACTTTCTTTTTATGTCCGGATGACTAATAGCCACAATTTCGCAATATTTTCTTTTGCGGGCCTTCCAAAATGAGGTGCTTTGAGAACATGCAAAGCACCTTATAAGTAACACATCCGGTTTCCATGACGAACCCCGACAGCATATCTAAAGAAACTGAAGTCCCAGACAAAAACAGGGTTATGTTTATATTTGCTAATCGATAGGAGAGAAAAAACGGCCTCTGCTGAGTCATCACAAGATCACCTAGAGATCTTCAATGCGTAGGTTTTCTCTCTCACAACTCACATGGGCACACATCAGCCTGTAAAGCGTGTAGCAATGCAACGTATTAGTTTTCGTAAAACATCAATAACTGAACTAAAGGATAAAAAAAGGTGAACTGCTTGCGTGCTGGCAAGCAGAGAAAGAGCAGTTTCAGCTGCAGTTTTTCGAGGATCTTGCCTAAGACCTCACTGATGCATTACATGTTCTAGGAAGGTGAGCTTTTTGTGCACTAAGTTTCACAACACTAGCCCGACGGTTAGTCCATATTCCTTGATACCCCGTACGACTGTCTGAAGCCGGCTATGACCATTGCATTTCGCCATAACAAAATTTACATTTTGATTTCTCTCGGCGAAGTCAACTTGCGAGCAGCTTACTTCAAATTGATTGACTGGACTAGAAACACCTCCCGTTCAACAGCTGGTACATGGAGTCACCTATCCGTTGAGCGCGGTACATAGCCTACTCTATCATTTTGTTCACACGGGTGTGACCAACTTATAGTCACAAGTAATCATTCGTATTACATGTGGTGCATTTTAGGGACCCGGATGACCCCCGTCGTATACTGTCACGATCGCATTGTGTAACGTAGGCGAAACCCCGCATAGCATAGCCATCTGTAACATACTTTCCGTGCTCTCGGGCCAGAGAAAAGTCCTGTTTTGACGGGCGATGCTCGCCTTAGCCTAAACTTGTCACGCGTAACTGGTCAGACGTACAAACAGACAGACAGACGGACGGACAGATGGACGGACGGTTGGACGGACAGACATAGAGAACGTGAGAGAGGCAGAAAAAAAGAGAAGTTTTGATTGTGTTAGCTTAACGCCTCTTCCACCATATGACAGGAAACATACTTTATTAAACTCTTTGTGGCACTTCACCTCCTATGTTGCTGTCGACGATCAGTATGCACATTTCAGAAGCCGAAGTGTACCATACAGTCTTTCTATAATGTGAGGAGTTGGCGCTTGTCGGGAACTCCAGTGCTTCTTATGTAAATGTGCTTCATCGCGGCCACATGTAAGATCACAAATGGTGCCTACTTACCGAGGGGGTGACTGCACACGCTGTTATTCTTAGAAACCTGATGTCTTCTCAACAACTAGTGCTTGTGTCCGTCCATCATGATTATCGGTCACCGTTACTCACAAAGTTGAGTTGGTCCCCGGGCCTCTTGGTTACTGTGTGCCTAAAGTCTTACGCTCCTTTCAATTCAAATACGTGGCGACGGGGGAACATAGAAAGGGGGGAGACTACAGAAGAATATTAGCTGTTGGTTCTCCGAAATAAGACTCTCTGTTATCATTCTGTCAGCCTCGTCTGACATTTATTGAGGGTATACTTTTCTTGGTATTAGCCCAAAGATAGGCAGCAATCGCGTTTGATGAATGCTGCCTCGATAAAACTATGCATTAAAATTTTGTAGACTGCTTCTTGCAATTACAGCGATGTATATTTTCACGCTCTGACCTCACAGACAAAAGCCAAGTGTATGCGATGAATGCTAGCTGAACCGAAGTGATATATTGGTAATTGTGCATATTGAGCTATGTACGAGTAGACTTTCCCTTGGGCATTTCAGGAATATTTAATAACACTTGTGTGCATAGTTTCCTGTTGACGCATGAAAAGGCAATAATTACGTGAAGGTAAATAAATACACACAGCATCCTAGGCATGCGCTAGTGTTTCTGCAAAAGAACGCAAAACTCCCAGCACATCCATTGCTTGGAAGCTTTTCTTACTCGTACCGCCTACGCGCAAATTGTTTATGTCAACTGGCAAAGATTGAGTGATTTCTTGATACTGACACATTTGACGTTTCAAGCAGCGTGCATAGGTCGATAATTTCTTATCTTCTGCACATAGCAGTTAATCTCGAACGCTGAGACTGGATGAGTGAATAAGGACTCAGAGCCGATGATGGTTGTTTGGGGCGAGTATACTCAGAGGTTGAGCAGGTTATGTATCACAATGTATTAAAATTTATTGAGGGGTAAACACGGCCACCTAACTGTCTTGGTTTCTTATATTTCGCACATCATCCAAATATATTTCTACGGGGTCAGTGACTTCCGTGTAAACGCAATCACAGAGAAACGACCTCAGGCGAGAATCACAATGGCTGATTGTCAGACTCGCACGCTTATCAGCTGACTCTGTCCTTCATCTTCCTTTACTTCATACAATATATTTAGGTTGAAGACAAAGACACAGCAGAACGAACATATAAATATCTTGGATCTTACACATCAATGATATTTGATTTCTTTCAGTATGGCCAGAAAGGGCAGCTCAGTCGGCCCGTTCATGGACAATTATTCCACAATTTCGCTCTCCAGAACTGACGCTGCACGGAAACTCCGCATGCTTGCTCACGAGCGCACCACGTCACAAGGGAATGAACCAAATTTCCGGCACGCACGAATGTATACCTTAGAGCCTACTCTGTCCAGGACTTCGCCAACGGGACGCTATTATGCTATGCAGGTTATGGTTGGGTGTCGCATTTACCAATGCGTTCGCGTACCGCATAGGAATGGCCTTCACTGCAGCATGTGAACATTGCCGCAGTGACGAAACAACTTGGCATATTCTGTGCGAATTCCCACAGTGCTGCTTGCAGAGACAGTCACTCAGCAATAACAAGGACAACTGGACAACCCGACTCATTCAGAAGAAAGAATTCTGCGCTAATAACGGGAATTTACGTCGCAGAAGAAGGCTGTCAAGACGATCCTGCGCTTCCTGCGTCCAACCTGTTTCTCCAAACGACTGTGATCATAACGCTCTGCATATGTGTGCATGTGTATGTTTTTCCTAATTTATTTTCTCTCCCTATCTCTAACCTCTTTGCGACTCCTATTTGCCACCCTTGTACAGGGAAGCTTACTGTGATGATAACGCCCTGCATATGTGTACATGTGAATGTTTTTCCTAATTTATATTCTCTCTCTATCTCTAGCCTCTTTGCGACTCCTATTTGCCACCCTTGTACAGGGAAGCTTACCAGTTCGATTAACCTGCCTACTGACATGCTTTGGCCGCAAATAACACACATACAAAGAAAAGAAACACTCAACGACAAGAACAAGTGGCAATGAAGCAAGTACCAACTCAGCAAATACCAACTAGACCAACAATCAGTATTTTAAACCTGCCTGTCTCTCCTTTTTGCTTATTTCTCTCTTTACAGATGAATGCATAGTGATTGTGAGAGATTGCTTGAGCGACCGAGGAGATGGGGAAATTATGTCCATCATAATTCATTAAGGTGGGCTGGTGACATAATTTTGCAGGTATAACGTGAGAGCAGAAAACACGGGACCCTGTTGATTGGCGGAATATGGGAGAGGCTTTTGTTTAAGTGCGGGTGTAATTAGGTTGATGATAACAATGATAATGACAACGATGCTGAAGAAATGACAAGCTCAAACACGACCCCTTCGTATCACTCCCGTATTCACAGCATCAGTCATAGGAAACATAGTAGACCCTTAAAGGCGAACTCCTCCTTCAACTACTTCCTGCCTTCGTGTAGTGTCTCTTACTTGATAGATACGGCCAGTGATAGATAACCAGTGCAGAATAACGTACTGACGTTGCTATAGAAAAATTCTAAACTTGAGGTGTCACGTTTCCAGCCTAAGATCAGCAAGTCCTGCACAATTTACCCATTCTTGCTTATACTTTCCAAAAACGTCACACTGCTTGACCAGAGAAAATACTTGAAGGGGTAATACACTTCTGTCCTGTTTTAGCACTGGCTAACGGCGCCCGTAAACAGGTCATAGGCCAGGATAGGCTTTCTTGCGAGGCCGTTATTCTTTTAGTCGAGTAAGCGCTCCTGTTTTTCCGTTTAGAATTACTTAAGTCTTAGTGCTCATAAAACAGGACCGTGAATCAGAACCAAATATACCAACTTTCGGTTCCTTAAGACGAGCCCTGGCGTAGTCATGTAAAAAAAAAACATTCTCAGGATGCATTCTTTTGTGATGGTGCTTTTTTTTTTGACGTAAATAGGATGAACAGTATTGCCATCTATGAGGACCACGCGAAAACGTGATCAGCTGCCGTTCACACCGCGCTTTCATTTGCTGCAATTTAGGGGCGTCTGAGCACGTCACTTACCATTGGAAACTCTCCTAGATCTCTACGTTTAGTCACAGTTGCGATGTACACCATCCGCTTGTGTAATGTGCTGCGTACACCTATGCAGCTTCACAATTTGTTGATGTTGTGTCTGATACTGGTCGCGATCAAATATGTATGCAGCTTTAAACCACCTACTATTAGGCCTGCGAATCCA